TTCCTTCTTTTATTTTCAGACACCTACCTGAAGTTGTGGGGCAAATTTGACCATTTGAGGCAAGGGCAGTTGTTGCTATCATCTGGCCATTTTGGAGGAGCAGGAAATGAGGCATCTGCAGACCAACCTGAGAAAAAAGGAAAAAAAGGTAGACTGATATATCAAATACAAAGGTAAATTATAATAATGATGATAATGATAATCAAAATGATCATAAGAGTAATCATAATGATAATCAAAATAACAATTATAAGCATAATAATCAAACATGAACAGAAACAATGGTCATCATTATCATTATCTGATATTCTACCTCACAAAATCATACAAGTATGCAAATTTCTGACTTGGGAAGCAAAAAATATTCATCAACTGCATGTCAAAGTGGAGCATTAGCATCTAATTTGACCCATCTGGATGTACCAAGGGGTGTACTAAAAAAAACAACAACATAATTGAATATTGTAAGATCTTTTGATAATTGTAAACACCATATCAACCCCTAAGGGCATACTCCCTCCATCTTTTTGTGAGATTTAGGGATTCTGCACCAGTAAATCTCACACATTCATACAGACATCTATACAAGTGTGAGTATACACACTCAAGTATATATATGTGTAAACGACAAACACACATAAATACACTTACATGCATTCGCATGTATACATTTACATTCATATACATCCATGTAAATGCAAGATAACACTAATAATAGCTGTCTGAGACAAGCATGACTGCTTTTGTATAATAATCATGATGACCTTAGCCAGGATCTGCCTCTTTTTATATTTATTTGTTTCTGGAAAATAAGTCATCTTTGTGCAACAAACTGCACTTGAAAGATAAAAATATGACAACATTTCATAAACCAAAATTTTGAGAAAATGAATCCAAAATACATATATCTTTTTTTCTAAATACTTAAATTGTGGTTGTCATATTGTAACACTTGTAAAAATGGCCAGAAAATAAAGTGAATAAAAAAAAAGAAATAAAAACATTCCCATTTTATTTAAACTAATCTAAGTCAGTGGGAAAAAAATATAATGATGATAATAATAATAATAATAGTCTAACAACAATAATACTGATGATGATGAAAAAAATAATAATAACAATAATAATAATAGTAATAACATTACTGATAATGACAATGATGATGGTGGTTGTGATTGTGATAATAATAACAATAACAACAATAAACATATAGGCACAGAAAAAAATGAAAGAATAGAATGAGGAAAACTTACCACATTTGTGCCACTAGTAATTGGTTGACTGGCTGAGGTCACCACCTGTCCAGCTGGCACCCCACTGCCTCCATTCACCATGCCTTGAGTCCCAGTAGTATCAGACTGGGGGGGGGGGGGATAGTCTTTATATAACATTCAGTGAATCTAATTCAACCCTGCAGAACTTGTAGCTATGCCTAAGGAACTCTTATAAAATGTTGAAAAGTGACATATGCCTCTATTATTCAAAAATTCTGATTTCAGCTGTTTATATTTTATGAGAAAGAAAGAGATGAAAGTATGAACAGAGAGAGAGAAAAAAAAAGTAAATATCACTGAGGAACGCTTAACTTTTAACATCAAACCAATATTTAACCTACCATTTACCATATCTCACAAAACACGATTTCCAAATATCCTTCGATTAAACATTCTATACTGACTGTATCAAACTTATCAAACAACAAAACTCTCACAAAAGAGAAGATGCAATTCATACCTGTATATTATTCAGTGTGTTATTCAGTAAGATATGGAGTCGGTGAATATCATCCTGCGCTTTCTTCTTCTTGCTGATCTGCGCCTGGGACAGCTCCTCGGTTTCGCACTCCAGCAGAAGGCCTGGGGTGTTCTGACCCATATTTGTACTTCCTGTATAAGTTTAAACAAAAAATAAGGGGAATTTTAGCAATGTTTGGGACATCATCTGAATTAAGGTATCAACATTTTCATAGCAAATTTATCAAGGAAATTATTAGAATAACATATTCATACTGACAATAATATTCTGTGGTATGATGTGGTGAACTATAAGTAATACCAATTTTTAAACTTAATATTACTGAAAGATCCTTGAAGACATTATAACAACTAGGCTAATATTGCTATGGTATGTGTACTGTATCATTCTGAGAAATGTCTGGAAAATTTGAGATACAAAATTCTTAGTTAGGTCATGATAAGGATCGCTTTAATTATCCAATTGAAAATGCAAACAAAACAATATAAATCAGATGCATTTCCAGTCTTATCTTCCTGATAATAATTATAATAACTTTTTTTCCTTATTCTTGCACCCATAGTACTAGAGAAAAACAAGAATATTTTTTGTCACATTTTCTTACTAATACCAATACCAAGAGAAAGTGTAAACCAAAAACAAAGCACAAACAATACATCTCACCACACATCTTTTATTTCTTAGGAAGAGAGATCCTATTAATAAACCAAAGTGAATCAATTGTAGTCTGTATGTCCCTAAATGATCTATGGTCAGCTGGTAAATGGGAATCAAGAACCCATTAGTTAAACATATATAATGTAAAATGTCATGACACTAAAATGGAAAGTCATGTAGCTACAGGAATTTATATGGCCATCCATCGTTCTTCCTGTTAAGCAACTGAAATCCTTTCAATGCATCCTCCAACTCTTAGGACATTTTTATATGTTACACTCCACATCCCCAGGAAGTGTAGATTTATTCATTACAAGTCAGTATGTTCATTACATAAAAATGAGCATTTGGAATCTTCACTTAACTAACAAAGAGTCTAAATAACTCATTTCAGTTGAGTTGATCTGTACTGTTGCTTTTTTATATATATATCTATTCTGCAATTTTTTCATATCTTGCAGTCACCAGTCTTAGCAATGACACAGGTGCCTGACAAGTTCACAATATGTTATATTTCTGTCATATATTTCAACATTATATTTCAACATAACTCATCTAAATATTATATCACAGACAAAAACAAACCAACAAGAATTTTGTGTGAAAATAATTCAGCAAGTTTGACAGAAAGAACAAAAAATAAATACAGCAAAAAGGCCATTGACAAATTCCTGTTTGTTTATCCTATTTCACGGTTGTATTTCAATTTGTTTAGCATGAATTCTTCACATGCAATACACACGATGCCTGCATGCACAGTCAAAATGGATGTTCAAGTTTTTTTCTTTTTTTTACCTCTGGCAGGTGCACAAGAACATGGCTCCAAAAGGTGCATTTATCATAATTTGATAATTCCATATCATTATTCACATCTAAGTGTAGTTCTAAGGTTTTAAAATAACATTCAGTATATTTTAGCTCATGCCCTTGAGTTCTTCCTTAAAATCTTAATCTCAATGAAATTTGAAAAATGAAAATTGTATTTACATAAAAAAGGTTCTTTTAACTAACTGCCCAAATTTCTTCATATACAGACAAATAACTTAAAAATTGGATATGTACAAATACAGTCCTTGTTTTGAGAAATAAAACAAGTCAATATTTGTCACCTTCCATGAAAATAATTAAATCCTGAAAGAAAAAAAAAAATCAACAATTTCTTTTCAACTAAAATAAAGCCAAGAAAGTTTTATTATCCTAATAGTTTATTCTACCTAGCATTAATTCTTCACTATCTTATCCAAGATCATATACGTACAATAATGGTCTTAATTCTCAATTACTTTTCCAACACTTTATATAGTATTTACCAAAATACAACAGCTTTTTACAGATTTTAGGGAGTGAGATACTTTGAAGGTATGGAATACTGATAACAAATATAGAGA